CCATCTCAATAATGCCTGATTCGCAGAAATCTACTCCGCCACCATCTGTCTGAGGCACCACTAGCAAAAACAGCCCAAAACTGCATGGGATGTTTCTGATCGTGCGGCTCAACCCAAAGCCCTAAAACCCTAAGCCCTTTGCAACCACCTCAAAATCCTCAAGGTCTCCCGGAAGACCTCCACCCAAGCATTGGGCAACACAAGCCAGAACCCACTGTCACAACAACCCTCCTGGGTTGAGGATTTAGGGCTTAGGGTTTAAACCAAAAATCCCTTGATCCCGACAAGGTTCACGGTTCAGGGCTAAACTCTAATACCTGCCATTGCAAGTCAAAGCGGCGACTTGCAGCACATCACAGCAGACCTTACTTGGCAAGAAATGACGGAATGGATCCTCATGGTAGTCCCCATATGGTCCCCAATAAGGAAGGAAGGAAGGAGTCGACCCTAAACCCTAAACCCCCGCCCAGCATCTCGGGGTCATCGACCCCTCTGCGGGAGGTTCTAGGGGGGGTGTAGCATGAGGCTACAGTAAAGGAAGTTTGGGATCCAGGGTTTAGGGTTTAGGGTTTAAAATTAACACAAGTGGCCTAAACATAGGTCTTTAGGGGTAGTAGTTGTTTGCATTTTCTTTTCAAGTCCTAAATCCTTAACCCTGAATCCTAGATAGCTGTCTCCATTTTCTTTTCCACTCCTAAACCCCAAATCCTAGATAGTCGTTTTGTATTTGAGCTTCAATTCCTTCATTACCTGCTAACCGGAAGTGAGGCTAGCTTGGGGCCAGGGTTCAGGGCTTAGGGATTTAGGGATCTACGAATTCTGTTAAAGGTTAAAGGTTAGGCGACTGGAGTTCAAGGGTCTAGGTGCTTAGGGTTTCGGGGTTGGGGATTGGGGTTTAGGGGCTAAACGATTTAGAGTCTAGGGTGTAGAGGTTTTGGGTTTTGGTGTTATTGGTGTTAATTCATGAGGGGTTTAGGGATTTACGTAGGGTTAACGGTTGAGGGCTTACAGGGTTGGCGTTTAGGTTTTAAGTTGGCCCTACTGTACTACTCCCTAAAACCTGAACCTCAAACCCAGAATGTGCAGATGTTGGAGCCCTAAACCCCTAAACCCTGAACCCTAAACCCTGAACCCCGAGCCCACAACCCTAAACCCCAAGCCCAAAACCCTAAACCCCGAGCCGTAAGCCTTAAACCCTGCAGCCTGAACCCTAAACTCTGAACCCAAAGCCCTGAACCCAGTCCTGAACGCTCAACCCTGAACCCTCAACCCTGAACCCTCGACCTTGAACCCTAAAGCCTAAACCCTAATAGCTATCCCCCCATAGCCCAAACCTTAAACCGCTCAGCCAAGCGGGTTGAGGGTAGGGTGGGGGGGTTTAGGGTTTGCGGTTCAGGGTAGTTGCTGCTAAGGAACAAGCATGTTTAGGGTTTAGGGTTTAGGCTTTAGGGTTAGCCCTGCAGCTCTTTACCCGAAGAACCCTAAACCCTCAACCCCTCAAAGCTGAAAACTACAACTTAAACTAAACCTTCGAGCCTAAAACCTGGGCCTCGACCCTGAACCCTAAACCCTAAACTTTAGGACTTAGGGTTTAGGTTTAGGGTTTAAGGTTTAAGGTTTAGGGTTTAGGGTTTAGGGTTTTAAGGGTTAGGGTTTAGGGTTTACCCAAACCTGCACCTCTAGACCCCAATTTCGGGGCTCAAGGCTTAGAGTCTAGGATATGTGGTTTCGGGCCGTGGGTTTCACGGCCAACTGTTGTCTAGGGGTCGGTAGACTACGGTTTTAGGGTTTAGGCTTGAGGCTTTAGCAGAAACCGCCCAGTAGGCAGGAACCCCAAGAACCGGAACCGTGTTTGAACGCCGGGGCTGAACCCTTAGCTACAAAAGAACCGTGCAAACCGAACGGCATGCAACAGCAACCGCTCGAACCGTGAAACCTGGTTTAGGGTTTAGGGTTTAGGGTTGAGTGTTTCAGGCTTCGATGGCTCTTTTTCCACCGCAAGGTTTCCGTAGCTCACTTGGCGGCTTGGCCCTTTAAAACCGATAAATGACCCGTTCAATCCTCAGTTACGCGCCACGAAATATGTTTATGGCCCCTTACGCCTTATGATGGCTCGTTACTAAGTCACCAGCGCTGACCCATTGCAGCCCTTTAACCTCATAGTGCCATCTCAGACTCCAAAAATAGCTCCTTTTAATGCCCCTCAGGATCTGCAAAAGCAGCTGTAGATTTGGAAGCTGTTAGTTCGGAATCGTGTTGCAATACGAACGAAACGAAAGAACGGCATGGTAGGAAACAGTACAGAATATTGCAAATTCGATACGAACCTGAGACCGAATCGAACTGCAAGTTCCTTACACCCGACACGAACCGAAGCTTGAGCCGAACCTGGAATGAACCGACATTTCAGGAACCGGAACAAACCGAAACGAACCGACCCCCCAGTGCTTTAGGTTTTAGCGTGTAGGGTGCAGGTAGAGGTCTCCTTCTGGTAAGTAGGCATCCTGTGAAATTTGCTTCCTGTAGTACATGGCGGCAGCTAGCATAGCTCCATCCTGTCATCCCCTGCTAATCACGAGCTACCAGTAGGGAGAATGGATCACGGACAAGGGTTTAGTCCATATCACCATTCTCCATTCCCTACCGCGCACCAGAACTCTAAGTCCAAAGCCTAAATCCAAAACCCTAAACCCTGAGCCCTATAAACCCAAACAACATCGCAGCTTCGATTTGATTTTTCGCTCCCTAATTTGCACACTGTAAACCAGGCCGAAGCACGCCAGAAGCCACTGGATCGTCCAAGTTGTGGTGTTAGCGGCACCGGCGCCCGAATTTCCTCTGCGATCTCTATAGGGGTTTAGGGCTTAGGGTTTAGGTTCAGGGCAAGGGATGATACCAGGACTTGAGGATGTTCTTGGAAAGCACATAGAATATCGTATAGTCCCCCTTACGTAGATAGAATATGGCTTTGGGTACATTATAATAAGATCCCCGTATACCCCATATTCTATCGAGTTCTCGGCGCAAACGACGGCCCAAGTGGGCATACGGTTTAGGGTTTAGGGTTTATGAGGTACAGGTTACGAGTATCTATGCCTCACAGAAGAATGCTCTTGGTACTTCTTCCCTCAATCCTCACCTGTTTTCAATTGTTACCATTAAAAAGAACTCATGTAACCACTCCCAGCACCATATGAGCTGTAGTCTAAACTCCTAGTATCCCCCTTCAAATGCCCTATGGTAGTCCCCTCTATGATCCCTGAATAACACCCTTTGAGGAGTTTAGATTATGGCTCATATCATAATTGAACAGGCCAACAATCTGCCAAAGGTTAAGGGCTTACAGTTTAGGATGCCGCCCCCCAAACAAGAAACCTACACCCTAATCTTACTGGTTCTTCATTGGAGCAACGGAATACATTCCACAGGGATTCTATAGAAACTCTATTCCCTGATTCCCTACTAAGACCCATGTAGTGTTTATGTAGGCCCTTCAGGGCTTAGAACTGGTTGTTCAAGCAGACATTGCGCATTGCAGTGCGACCACGAGGCCCATTTTGAGGACCACGATGTAGAGAAAGGCCCAGGCAATGTGGAGAACGCTGGTGCATCCTCTTCAAGGTTCCGGATGACACGGTGCCTTTTAGGGTTTAGGGTTTAGGGTTTGTTTACCCCAACATGAAACTTCCACTTACATGTCTGCGGTTCATTGGGAATTCGATGTTCCGTGTAGGACCTTGCAATGAAACCCTAAACTGTAAAGTGCAGGCTCAAAATAGATAGAGAATAAAAGCCAGTAGCTCTACCCCTGCACCAGTCTCTGGGGTTTAGGGCAAAAACGAATAATGGAAAAGAACATGGAAACTACTATGAACTATTTAGGGTTTAGGGCTTAGGGATCTTGAAGAAGGCCTCTACACTGCAATCGAGTATGGCTGAGCATGTCGATTGCACTTCCATGCCCTTTGGGGTTCTATGAGTGGGCAAGGGTGCAACAATGCCAAAAAAACACAAACTCTACGGCAGTTGCTTGTGTCCAGAAAGAGGTGTGACCCGATCCAACAACCCTGGTGTTGGCACCACGCCGCGGAATGAAACCTTCTCCTCAGGTCCATTTCCTGCTATTAAGTTGTCCGTCTCCCACAAAGCCTCTATGCTATTGACTGGGTTGGCCCCAAAAACCCTTTGAAAAATATTAGTATATAGGGTCCCTTGTTGAAGCCATTAAGGAAAATATTGAATATCCCAGGGGCTTACCCAGTTGAGTGAACGTAGTACTTGAGAGACCTTAGGGTGTCCTGGCAGCAGCAGCAAAAGGACCCTTCTGAGCCATTCCCAGCGGATCTTAAAAATTGCCCTCCAGTGTACCCTACAAAAATCCAAAAGGACCCAGAAGTTCACGAGATTCTGACCTAGACCCTGAACCCTAGCTTCTACAAAGCCCTGAGCTGACAAGAGAAGCTGAAATCCCAGGGACTTCTTTTGCAAGTCACTGAGCAGCCTCTGATGATCTAGAGTCCAAATAGGTTGAGGGTTTAGGGATTAGGGTTTAGGGATCAGGGTTTAGGGTTTAGGGTTCCGTAGAGGATTATGCAGGGAACCATTCTAGGGGTCATTAAGGGAGATACCAGGAGTCTAGACTATAGCTCACATGGGCAACTGAGTGGAGAACCACTCAACTAAGGTTTCGCGGGTTTAGGGTTTCACCCCGTTCGCTTGTGGTGACCATCTGCCAAAACCTTCAACCCTCCCTGGACACCCCAAACGAGTAGTGTTTTTTGGTGGTTGAACCTAGTAAGATAATATTCCTTATATAAGATACTATACCTCAAAAGGAGGATATAATCTTACTCTATATTGGGTACCATAATATCCCCAAATAAAATTCTACTCAAGTGCCTTCTGAAGGCCCTAGAGTTTGGGTACCGACATAAACTGTTTCTAAAAATGTCGTTGAGGTGGCCTCCTGCACCCTGGACCCTGAACTGGCTCCTGCTATCCAGACAGCAGGTTGTGGCATGGATACATTGCGGAGATAGGCGAGAAGCCCCTGGTACTGGAATTGCTGGAAAAGCCTCACGAAGTGTTTAGGGTCTACAGCTTAGGGTTCGAAGTATGTGCGCTCAGGTGGCTTGCTCTAAAGGCACCCTGAACCCTAAACCCTAGCATGCATGGGGGCATAGAGACATATCCTTAACAGGAATGCCGACTAACGAGGTTACCTTAAGACCTTGACTCCTGGGTCTTAAACACAGACCCTAGATCCTTCAAAGCTCCGTCCAAAAAAGCCAACCAAAACCTTCAATAAAAACAGTACAGAATTCAGGCTTCAGGGCGGATCCACCCTAAACCCCCCTCGGGACTTGAAAAACAAGACCTGAGTTAGACGATCCCCAAATTGCACATATGATCTTTATCCCATGTGCTTCCCCACCCTTTACTATCCCCCTAGGTTCCCTCAATCATGGTGTTGAGAGGTACCTAAAGTTGTTTGAGGCCATAGTCCCCCTTAAGTAGATAGAATATGGGGTATATGGGGATCTAATCAGAATATACCCAAAGCCATATTCTATCTACTTAAGGGGGACCTATATACCCTCAACCCCTAAACCCTAAGCCCTAAATAGTAGCTTCCATTTTCTTTTCCATTATCCCTATAAAACCCCTATATAACCCCAATATAGTCCCAATATAACCCTAATATTCTATCTACTTAAAGGGGGAACTATAGCTTAGGGAGAACCAGGGAGGTTAGTCATAGAGGAGCCCATGGAAAAATCCCAAGGCGGCCTTTCATCGTCATAGCATCCGGAGGACCACTACCAAATGCTCCAGATTCCAGGGTTTAGGGTTTAGGGATTAGGGTTTAGGGTTTAGGGTTTATTGATTAGGGTTTAGGGTTTAGGGCTCGGGCCAAACCCCAGACACCCCTAAATGCAAGTCTAAACCCTCAAGCCTAGACCTTAAGCACCTGCCTAAGCACTGAGCTTTAGACCCTAACCCTTATCCCGAAACTGCTAAACCCTCCTCCCTCAACTCTGGAGCCTAATCCCCTCAACCTGACCCCTAAACCCTAAACCCTAATACCCCAAATAGTAGTTTCCATTTTCTTTTCCATTACCCCTATATAAATTGTAGTTTCTATTTTCTTTTCCATTACCCTGAACCCCAAATCCAAAAAACTAGAAGCCTCAAACCCTAAACCCTAAACCCTAAAACCTGAACTCCAAGCCCGAAAAACTAGAAGTCTCACAGTCACTGCCAGGCTACCCCAGCGAAGCTATGCGATTATAGGATGCTGCATGCCTCACAGGGTTTAATATACTATAGTATATTATAGTATATTATAGTCTATTATTATATATACGATATATTACAATATTTCATAATATATTATAATATATTATAGTATTTTAAGGTTCAGGGCTACAGGGCTTAGGGTTTCGGTGTTTAGGATTTGGGCTGTAGCGGCTGGGTTTAGGGTTTGGGGTTAGGGGGCTTGGTACACCCCCAGTGAAGGTGGCATTGGGGATTGAAGTTGACAATTTCTCCTACGGGGCTTTCGTGTTTAGGAATTCAGGGACCAGACTCTAACGGATTCGGGGGTTTTAGGCTTTAGCGCTTTTGGCCATGTCTGGCAGGCAAACTAGATCAAGTAGGTATGCTCGGGCATACAGGTGAGAGAAATTGCGCATACTGGTTTCACATTGAGATACTATTACCAAGCTGGAATTTGATTTTCCTAATTGGGTCTTGGTATAATACAAATAAATTTGAGCTATAGTCTATAGTGCCAACTCCTAGTATGCCCCTTAGTAACCCCCATATTACTCCCCTGTAGAGCCCCCTATATAACACCCCTTTAAGGAATTTAGATTATAGCTCATTTGAACAATGACCTAGCTTACGGTGCAAGGTACAATGGAGCCCACCATGATTGGGGCATTGCATTTTTCCTGGCCTCTTATGGTAGTTTCCCAAAATAGAGCAAACCCCAATATAGACCCCAAATCACAATAATCCTTATTATGGGATTCTGGGTACCCACTAAAAAAGGTATCCCCTAATTTGGGGAAACCCCCTTATGGAAGCCCTTGCAAAGACTGCTCGTGCAATGGGATACCTTCACCGAAACTAGCACGGGATTTACAAAGGTCATTTAGTGGGTGAGCCAAGCAAGCTACGCTATAAGCAAGCTACCCTATAAGAACGAAGGAAGACATAACTGTCCTCCGGATTTATCGGGGACTATTGAAATGCTTCTGGTTGGTTTTGCTCGGAAGGAGCCCCTGTACAGGGTCATATCCGTCGGGCTTTATCACAAGCATCCCTACGCAATCCCAAAAAAACGCCCCCTTGGTCCACTGAAATCTCCATATATCACTTTACGCCCTATGCCCGCCTTCTTGAAAAACCTCTAGACCTTAAACCCGAATGACTAAACCTTAGTCTTCTAAACTAAACCCTGAACCTCCTAACCCTAATCCCTAACCCTATAACCCCCCTCCTATGCTACCCATCCCGCTGCATTTCCCAACTAACCTTAATAACCTCTGTATGTCTAGGAACCTGCATTTGTGGAGGAAGTGTCATGCCATCCCCGCTAGTCTCGCGTTTTATTGCTCCTCACACTAGTCCTCCCCAGCCCCAAAAAGAGGTCTGTCTGGTGTAGAGGTTTATAGTTCAGGGCTTCAGGGTTTAGGATTGCGGTGTTAGGGTTTGGGGTGAGGGTTAAGCATTTTGGGTATGGGGTTTAGGCTTTTGGGTTTTTGGGTGGCTTTGGGGCGTGACATTAATTTTTGAACTGAGCCTTGTGGGCGTTAGTTCGACAGAGTTCAGGGTTTAAGGTTTAAAAGGGTTTGAGGTCACCTACCTCGAAATCGCCCCCTTCCACCCCGTCATAGAATCTACCAAAGTCTACATGGGGATTTCTCTAAATGAGGTAACCTGGGATGATACGGGACTCGGGGTCCCGCTGGAGGATTCAAAATTCAAAGCAGATCGCGCTGAGAAACTGAACCTTCAACCCTAAACTTTAAACCCTAAACCCTGAACCTTAAACCTAAACACTGAACCTTAAACCCTAAACCTTAAACCCTAAAACCTCACAGAAACAACCTCATTCCACCCTCTTACTTCTTGCTAGTAGGGTCTAGCTTGGGTGGGGTTTAGGGTTTAGGGCGTAGGGTTTAGGATTTAGGGCTTAGGGTTTAGGGTTCAATGTTTAGCGTTTAGGGTTGACTTAGAATTTGCGGACCCCCACACTGTAGTAGTGGTTTACTAGCTATATCAGAGGGCCCAGGTGTAATCACAATTACCCCCGCTAGTCACTATTAGTGGGGCGCGGGGGATCAACCTAGGATTAGGGCTTAGGGCTTAGGCGCTGTAGGGGTTAGCTTACGACTCGCGATCACCTCCGTCACTCCCTACTACCGTCTGCACCATACAAGTGACCGTAGTAACAGAAACAATTCGATGGCAAAAAACATCCCTTTGTATTTGCCAGAACACTAAACCCAAAGCCTAAACCCTAAACCTGAACCCTAAACCCAAACCCTAAACCGTAAACCCTGAACCTTAAATCTTAAACCCTAAAACCGGAACCCTAAACCCCAAATTCATTCCCCAAGCCTCAACCCTAAATTCATTTCTTTAGCCTAAGCCCTAAAACCCTAAATGCATTCCTCAAACCTAGACCCCTAAACCCGAAACTAAATAGTAGTTTCCATTTTATTCTCCATTATCCCCATATAACCCCTGTATAAGCCTGGACCCTAAACCCGAAACGCTAAACTCCTAAATCGTAGTTTCAATTTTTCTCCATTATCCCCATATAACCCCTGTATAACTCTAGACCCTAAACCCGAAACCCTACCCCAAGTCTTTGAAGTTGGTAGTTTTCTGATCCTCTGCGCCTCGCAACATCAGGATGCTGGCCTACGGCTTCCAGGATTGTATCCTTGCTTTGGTTTAGGGTTTGGGGTTTAGGGCTTAGGGTTTAGGGTTTAGGGTTTAGGGTTCAGGGTTCAGGGTTTAAGGTTTAGGGAGGGGGGGGTGGGTTAGGTTGAAGCGTTTTTTGAGGTAACGCAGAGATAGGGTTTAAAGGTCCAGGGTTTAGGGGCTCGAGGTTTGGGCGGCTTGATGTGTTGAACGAAGTCTCAATGCGAAGTGTGCCCTGGACTTTGGGGATACTGTTGATGGAGAGAATCCTGCACCACCTTCAGCGCCACAATTCTGACAAATTACACTAGTTCAGGCAAGTCAAGTGCGTCCTCCAGCAAAAGCCCTGAACCCTAGACCCCAATCCCTAGACCTTAAGCCCTAAACCCTGAACCCTAAACCTCAAACCCTAAACCCTAAACTCTAAGCCCTAAGCCCTAAGCCCCAACCTCTGAGCCCTAAGCCCTAAACTCTAAACTCTAGAAACCGTAAACTTGGGTACTGCCGACCCCAGTAACAGTTGGATGAAAGTATAATATGGTTACATATATAGCCCTTTACTGGACCCCTAATATAGACTGAGGGGTGGGGGCAGTACCTCACGTTAAACCCTAAACCCTAAACCCCTAAACCCTAAAACCCTAAACCCTAACAAAAGAAGAAAACTCTAGAAACGTTAAACCCTAGACGGAGGTCACTAAACCAGAGCAGCGGGATCATCCAAAGAAGCTGAAGCGTACCTCGGCGTCGGAGGGTTTTAGGGTTTTAGAGTTGAGGCTGTTGGGTTTAAGGTTGTTGGGGTTTAGTGCTGTGGGTTTAGGGCTTAGGGTTTTAGGCGTAATTAAGGCTTAAATCTTAAAGTTTTGGTCTTTGGTTTTGGGGTTTACGGCTCAGGGTGGATTGCCAAACGTCTGGGCTGAAACAGCTTAGAGCTTCGCATCCTAAACCCTAAGCCCTGAACCAGGATAAGAGCTCAAAGGCTTAGGGTGCAGGCTCCAGATTTTAGCCTAATGCTTGGGGGTCCAGGAATTGGAACCTAGGCTGGAATTATCCGCGGTTCAGTCTCAGAATACAGTAAACAGTAAACGTTGCTGTTGCCCGGGCGGTTGTAGTAGATGGCGGTATACGGGCCAAAGCGCTACATGGCACCCAGCCGGACCGAATTGCTGGGATGACCTCCCGCTGACATCGCAACGCCGGGAGCACATCGTCACAGCGATACTTTTCTACGCACCCAGACGTGTTGCGCAGACTGTGGTGGCCTTGCGCGGCACGTTCTTCCATGCCGACTTGGAGCTGTAGCTCCCAAGTCAGCAACGTAGTCTTCAGGCTGTGCAGCGTAAACTGGCGTGCCTCCTCTCCTGCCAAGAAAGTGCACTTGACCAGACAGCGCCGCAAGTGCGCCATGGCGTGGCATGCGCCGTTGGCCCGTTTGTAGAAGCGAATTTCTGAGAGCTAGAGGTCTCGCTCGGATCTTTGCGGTCTTCAGGGTTTGGGATTTAGGGTTATTCAGGGCGTAGGGTAGGACTTGAGGGCTCTATCCCGGGTTACGGAGCGGGCTGAAAGGTGTAGGGCCCAGCGCCGTAAACGCGAAAAATGAAACATCCCAAATTTCTCCAAGTTAAAAGCCCCAAATTATGAACTCAAAGCTCTAAACAACCGCAACTAAACACCCCGAGTGCTGAGCCTTCATCGTATACCTGAATGCCTCGACACAAAGCGCAACCCTTAAGCTTCAACTAGCCTAGACATACCACAGGCTGCGCCGTATCCCGCAGCATACCATGAGCTTGGGGCTTAGGGCTTAGCTTAGGGCTTAAGGCTTAGCGCTTAGGATTTAGGCTTTAGGGCTTAGGGCGTAGGGCTTGGCACTTAGGGCTTAGGATTTAGGCTTTAAGGCTTAGGGCTTCAGGTTTAAGGTTCAGGATTTAGGCTTTAGGGCTGCTATGAAGAAGTACAATACATCGAAGCAATTTCGGCACAGTGGCGGTTTCTCAACACCCGATGACCCAAAATCAAGGCGTCCCAAACTCCCTAAAACGCAGAATGTGCACAGTATACCTGCGCGTATCAAAACAGATAATGTGTACGTAGATCTACATGTGTGTATACTTTCTGTGCAAACTCGGACTACCTCCCACCCAGGGCAATCCTTTCTGAAGCTTGACACCCCCTCCCCGGAAAAAAATGGACATGTATGTGTGTACATATACACATGTATGCATACGCATATATATATATATAAAGTGTGTGTATGTAAATATATATATATATACGTACATACATACACACCTACCTACATACATACATGCATACATTAATTTGGTAAAAGGTGCAGATGACGCGGCTTCGCTGAAGGTAGTGAATGCCTTCGGTGGACGATTCCGGCGTAAGGGGGTTTGGGGGTCAAAGCTGCAGGTCTCTGGGATTGCTTTTTGTAAGGTTTGGGGGCCTGGGTCTTGGGGTGTAGGTTTGCGGGTTTATAACCCTAAACCCTAAACCCTCTAAGCCCTAAACCCTATACCCTGAACCCTTAACCCTAGGGTTGGGCTTCAGAACTCACCTGCCCTACATTTCCTATGAGCCCCAGACTTCTCCATGCCCTTCCGATACCGAGGCTGGCTTGCCTCTAGGCTCAGGGTTATATAGGGGTTATATGGGGATAATGGAAAATAAAATGGAAACTACTATTTAGGAGTTTCGGGTGTAGGGTTTCAGGTTTGGGGTTCAGGGTTTAGGGTTTAAGGTTTAGGGTTTCAGCTTCAGTCTCGAAACAGGTCTGTCTAAGTCAATGTTCATGTGCACAACCTCAATCATAGGAACCGCAAGCCTCATAGCCTCCCCAAAATGACATAGAACCCTAAAAGGTCGCCTACATAGACTACCGTCTTTTAACCCTGAACCCTACTTGGAGGGTCAGGGGGGTTGAGGAAGTAGGTTAAGAACCCCTATAAACTGTATAGTGGCCCAGTTATCCTAATTATGAACCTACTTGCCAAGTCCCCATGGCCCTCCAAGCAACCCTAAACCCGAGACCCTGAACCTTAAACCCAAAACCTTAAAGCTTTAACCCTAAGCTTTTTACCCCAAACCCTACAACTTCAACCATAAACCCCGAACCACACTGCAACCCAGCCACAAAGGGCATGCTGACCAGCACCATGGGCTTGGCTAACAAAGGTGTCCAGGGCACTGGTAAGGCCAATACCTGGGTTTAGGGCTTAGAGTTTTAGGGTTTAGGGCTTTAGAATTTCGAGTTTAGGGCTTTAGGGCTTGAGGGTTTAGGGCTTAGGGGTGTCCCCCAAAAGAGGGCTAAGGTTTAGGCTTTCAGGATTTCAGGATTTCAGGGTTGAGGGTTTGGGGTTTAGAGGTTTTGGGTTTAGGGCTCTCAGGATTTTAGTGTTGAGGGCTAGGGGTTTAGAGGTTTAGGGCTTAGGCCTTTTAGGATTTGAGTGTGAAGTCTAGGGCTTTAGATTAAGTCTCAGGGTTAAGGGCCCAAGGATTGAAGGTTTGAATTGTGCAACCAACCAGTCGGAGCCTGTTTAACGGTTCATCTTCGGGAAATGTGGTCGATATTCGAGATTTACAGGTCTTGGCACCCTAAACCCTAAACCGTGAGGCTCCCAGATTCTTCAACCCCAAACCCTAAACGGCGCCATGGGGAGCTAGGGTGTACAGATGTCGGACGAAAGGGTTCCAAATGATGTGCGGGTTTCGGGGTTTAGGGGGTTGGGGGTTTAGGGTTTAGGGTTAACATGATGGTTAATGTAGACCCCTGAGTAATAAACCCCTCCCATTATATAATAGGGATTATAATCGGGATCCTAACATTGAGACCCTTAAAAGGACGGGGTTTATTAGTCATGGGTCTACATCTTAGGGTCAAGGGTTGTTAAGTCAGAGCTTCAAAGGCATTCATAAGGATCTGCCGGGAGATTGTAAGTTTGAGATTGGATTCAATGGAAGGTAACCCTAAACGAAGGTAACCCTAAACCCGTAGGGTTTAGAGAAATTGTTCCAACTCGAGTTTGAGAGCATCGTTCACGCTTAACGCACTTTGAAAAACCTTTGAGGGGATGCTTGGGCATTTCCCAGAATTGGGGTTTGGAGTTTGTGTTTGGGGGGTCCTTATAAAACGGATTTTAAGATTTTGGGGTCTATATTGGGCTCCCCTTATGTATGGAAACTACCACTTCAGATCTGGATTGCGAATCAAGGTTGAAGGAATAACATGGGGTTGATAGGGTTTAGGGTTTAGGGCTGAGGAGTTTCGAGCTTTTGGCTCATGGCTCGATGCTATGTACCTACACTCGACGAATTATGGATATGCTCCAAGATTGGAGCATCAAACGGAGACGAACATGCAAGTGAAATGGAAACTAGCTTTACATAGGGGTCTAGAGGGATTGTATTGCACGCTTGATTCTAATAAGGCTTCCGGGTACCGTAACATACTTATGTGAGACTAGGGCTTTGGGGCTACATTTTACTGATCCCTGGGAATCAGGAAGTATACACCCCCCCAAGCACCCGCAAAGGATCCAACGATTCAATCGTGTGGGATAATATGGAGAAGTCTATGGATTATATTAAATCTGAGTTGCTTTTTGGCCTTAGGATAATATGGGCTCATATTATATATCTGGGTTACTATGCACAGACCCTCATTAGTGGATTATTCCTGCGGTCATGGCAGGGGCGCCAGGTTTGCGGACCTCTCTTGAAGCTCACAGAACCCTCCGCCCAAAACCATAACTGGAGCTTTCTGAGAATTAGGATCCCTTCTGGTAGGTCTCTATAAGCCCTCAATCTTAAACCTGACTATTTCGGGGTCTAGATTGGGGTCCCCCTATTTCTGGAAACTACCAAATCCGTCATCCTACAAATTTCAATAGCCTGGTGCCAGCAAGGAATGGAAACAAAATGGAGACTTTTACTTTTTTGGGATTTAGGGATTAGGGACTTAGGGTATAGGGACATGATTTGGGGTTTGGTATCTTTGGGAGGGCGTTAGTATGA